TCGCGGTTTCTTTCTTTCCTCCCTCCCCCCTCTTTCCTTCCTTCCTCCCTCCCTCCCCCTCTCTTTCCTCCCTCCCTCTTTCTTTCTTTCCTCCCTCCCCCCTCTTTCCTTCCTTCCTCCCTCCCTCCCCCTCTCTTTCCTCCCTCCCTCTTTCTTTCTTTCCTCCCTCCCTCCCTCTTTCTTTCCTCCCTACGTGAGGGGGCCTCAATTTGTTTGCGCCTCGGGCCTCCTAACTACTAAATCCGCCACTGGCTGCACACATTCCTGAAGCAGTTTATACAGCAGTACTGTGGAGTAAAAAGATAAGTCAATCCATCTCTTTAAAAGCCTGATGTCATGTGTCTGATTAACGAAACACTTAAAAGTGTTTGCTTTGACACCTATCTTAGGAGAATTAACAGTGGGAGGCTAACTTACAAGAGAGGTATAGAATGTCAGTGATCCGGTCTATTGCTGTCACCACAAAAAGTCATTCTCTATGCCATCAGCCCCAAGTAAAATTTGCAAGCCATGTCTATCCAACAAGAGTTAACCAAGCTTTCTGTGCTACACAATCACCTACTAATATGGAATAGTACATAGACATTGTAGAATGAAAAGCTTTGCCCAACTTTTCACTCTTCGTCATGTTGAAAAGGCTAGAAATGAAGGGGAGATGTTGATCCCGATTCAGGAAATCTTGCACCCCATTGGTTACAGGTTTGCAGCTGTGCCTGAAGCTGTCCCACTGCTCTCCATCACCCAAATAATTAATATTCTCAGTTCAGGCATCACTGATTGCCTGTAGGAGAAGAACACAGACCTTAAGACACAGAACTGGCAAAGCTGATAACTCCGTCTGGCAGCACTATTGTGACACACAAACACAACACTCTGAGAAGCAGACCGGGTTCTCTCAATCTGAGATTTTGCATTTAGCAGAAATACTAAACCACAATGCATGTGAACAGAATTCTTATGTCCAGCTGCACAGCATTTCTCACTCTATAGTATTAGTTTGAAGTCGTGTGTTTTAGCATTCAAGTCCTTTTCAGCTTTGGTGAGACTTGATTGCTAATAACAATCTCAATTTATTATTCAATAGCCCATTCCCTGATTACTGACATCAGAGCCAGGGGCATCAGTCAAAGTGATTGGTAGAATCAAGTGATCAAAGCCCTGCTCCTTTCGAATGTGTGTTGCATGCATACCATACAAAGAGGTGAGACTTTGATAACCCCAGGAATGCCCACCAGTTTGTCTCCATTGATTACCCCCATCCTTGCTGATACCCTTGATCAGAACTTACTGGTATCAATGGGCCAGCAACAAAATCTACAATCCATATAGACATTCATATATTGCCAGACGAAAGCTATAAAATCATTGTGCTTGAAAGATTTGATATTAATAATAATAAAAAGGGCATTTTTAAAATATTTTTTCCACAAATATTTTACACTATTACAGAATCATAAAATTAATGAATAATGAAAATAATGTTCCATTTGGTAGGCAGATAGAAGTTTCCGTGTTTCAAAACTCTGACCAGTGAGAGTTGGCTTCATCTATGATACCAACCCTGCAATTATACAGAGGTTTACTCAGATTTAAGTCGTTTTTTTTCTCAATAGGGTTAACCCTCCAGAGTCTATAGCACAGTGATGGCGAACCTTTTAGAGGCCGAGTGACCCAAAACCGCCCCGCCCCCTGCTCTGCTCATACCCCATCTGCCCGCAGGGCCACCCACCACTTCCACTGCCCGCTACAGCAGATTGCCCAGGCGGTCCTGCAGTGCCATGGCAGCCACGTCCTCTGCCTGCGCCCCGCAGCATCTGCACGCAAAGGGGCATGAGGGCAGAGTCTTGTCCCTGCTGCCCGGCTGCCATGTTCTTGGCTGCGCTACTCCACGCTGGCCGAGCCTGGGGGTGACTCTCCTCCAGGGGGATGCTGGTGAGGGGGCTGCGGGGGGGAGATGGGGCTGGAGCAACGGTGCGCGTGCCCACAGAGAGGGTTCCGAGTGCTGCCTCTGGCACACGTGCCATAGGTTCGCCACCACTGCTATAGCAGATATCAGCAGCTAACCAAGAAAATTTTCCCACAAAAAACAAACCAGATGGGACCTGATTAGTACTTGGATAGTGAGCACTAGATTAGGCAATTGTAGGATTGTAGACTGGAAAGTAAAAAAAAAAAATCCAGATTTCTATCTCAGTATTGCTGCCAAGAGAACCACATGGATGTATCCATAGTCATCAGGAGATGAGTTTGTTTGGAGAATGTCTTTACTTCTTATTCCCAGGCAGGTCTTTATGGGTATTTTTGGTTGGTTTGTTTTCTGCATTCCCAACTTTTATGTGTGGAATTTACTTTGGCTTGAATGTGGGTTTAATTTTGCAAAAACAAAAACAAACTCTCTTTTCCTTTGTAGTCTATCTTGAATGGAGAGCTTGGCATCTTTGACATTATTTAATCCTCTCTGTGTAAAAATTATTGTTTAAAGATTAACAACATGGAAGTATTATAGATGCTTGATCAAATAGGAGCAATCAAACTCCAGGGAACCTAGAGTAAGAATTTACATTATCGTATCTGAACAGCCTCCAGGTAGTATAAAATGTCATGTTTTTGGATTGGCTTTGAAAACAAAGAAAGCTATCTTGCCTTTCTTATTTACCCACTGACCTGAACAAAAGTATGTGTGGTTTGAAGCAGCTTGTGCCTTAAAGCTTCTTCTCCACTTGTGAGAGTTATAGAGCTACTGACCCATCCCTGAGTCAGCAGAAAAGTACCCCAGCATGACATTTGCCGATTCATGGCCCCACTGCATCTTTTCTGACTGTCAAACAGTGCCCTCCTTGTGATATGTGTACAACATGTGATAAGCAAACTGAGCGGTCGAGTTCTGCTGTTCTCCTTCTTCCACAGTACAGGTCATGCAGGTCTGGAAAAATCCACCAAATCCTGGTGGCTGCAGCTGAAATTGAGTAGATAGGCAGTCCATTCTAAGGAATTACAAGTAGTCCTCATTTAGCCATTGTTCAGTTTTAATGGTGTCAAAAAAAATAACTTTATGACCAATCCTTGCATTTATGACCTTTGCAAGTCTGCTAAGCAAAGGAAAGTTGAAGTAAGTTTATATAAACTGTTTCACTTAGCATCCGCTTTGCTTAACAACTGAATTGCTGGTCCCAATTGTGGTCACTAAACAAGGATTACCTGAATAAAGCTGGAAAAGCCTATCTGGGCCACTGAGATCATATCTCTGTTCAGTGCAGCAATCCCTATTAAACAACTCCGGCCAAAGCCCCATTGGAATATATATAGTATGAAGGAGAACCCCCATTTCCCCTAGTGATTGATTCCATCACTTTTTTTAAAAAGTATTTTATTAGTTTTCTATCATTACAATTCATTTGTGCTTACTGAAAAAGGTGTTATCTGGGTTAATTTTTGCCTAGTCATAAAGGTTAAGTTCTTACTCTCTATCCTGCTTTTCCAACCATTGATAAAATAAGTTCCATGTTTGAAAGTATACTGTATCTCCTTTTCCTTGGATTCTCAATGTGAGTCTATCCATTTCCGCACAGTCCAATATTTTCTTACTTGGAATAAGAAAAGAATTAAGATTCCACCACTTTTATTGTTGGAAAGCTTTTTCTAATAATGAATCAACACCTACCTTTCTGTTGTAATTCAACTTGATTAAAGTTGGAAAAAAAATTGGTCACAAAAGGGAGTCGAACCACAAGTATATTTTGAATTTTTCTCCTCTTCTTTTCTTTGCTGCATATTCCCAATTCCTTCTTGCTCGATTTGGGAGACTGAGTAGGGAAGCAGTATTCCACTGACTGTATAGTGAAAGCATGTATAACACTAGCTAAGCAATGAAGCATTATTGTGCAACTCCAGCACAGAACCAACACAATGTTACTGTGTCCAAGATCAGAATCATGGCATTTGCAAATGAGGCTCACTGGGAACCAGATAGGAGTAGATGCCCGGCATCAGCCTGAAATAGTCAATACTGTTATGATCCCATTCACCAACAGTCCTCTGTCTTGATCTTCAACATAAAGAACAGCTATCAATTTAAGGAGGAAAATACCGTTTTATCAATGGTCAGGTTTTCTGAAACGTGGCATGCTGGCTGGGGAATTCTGGGAGTTGAAGTCCACACATCTTAAAATTGCCAAGTTTGAAAAATACTGAGCGAAGCTGAGTTAAGCTACGCTACGCAAAGGTTGTGTTACTTAATAACTAGAGCAACATCACGGTGACAAAAATTTTTAAATGTTGCTAGGGAGTATTTGTGTCATAAGTAGAAGCCAGCAGTAAATGGTTCTAAAAGAAAAATTTCTACATCCTAACACAACTGAGCTAGTTTATAAACCTGTATGTCCTGGTTAACTGCTTTTGTGCTTTGACCTCAGTGATCTGGCAGCTGCCTTTCATACAAAAAACTTCCATCAAAAATACTGTTCTTTAGAAGATAAGTCATGCCTAGTTGGGTAACTGCATGGTATAGCTCTTAACCACACAAATGTTGACAATAAGTCGAGTCCTTAAACTGTAACAATTAGAATGGATTTTAAGAAATCCATCTCCACAGACCTAGAGACTATAAATATATAAAAATTAAGAACGATTTCAAGTTAAGGATACATTAAAATTTGGTAGATTCCCCTAGACTTAAGCAAGGTAAATCCAAGTGGATGAAAAAATGGAGGAATCAAGACTATAAACTAGGCTACGAAGTTAAAAATATCCTACAGAAAGGCAGTGCCAAATCATCTTCATGCTTTTGCTAAGAACACAAACATATCCATGTAGCCCACTAGAAGTTGATCTCAGCTGGAGCAAATATTAAATAGTTTTAGCTCTGGAATACAAATTCACTCTATTATCACTTAGATGGTAATTACAACCTCAGAAAGCAGCAAAATTTATCCAGGAGATAAAACACAAAGCAGGCGTGCAACCTATTAGCAGATAATGGGTGAACCTGCAATAATTTTTTGTTGGCTTGTTTACTAGAGAATCCAGCTACCTTGTATATAACAACAGGCTGCTTAACTGAGAGAAAACAAAAGCAAAAAACTCATATGAATATCCAGAAAGAGACAATTAAAAAGGCAACATCAAGCCACTGTTTCTATCTGTATATTTTTTTTAAAAAATCACAGCTTAAGACAATACAGCCAACCATTTCCAGGATGTCAAAATCACAAGGGGGAATGGGTTCATTAAGAAGGGAATAATTAAATCTATTATTGAATATAGTTGAGTAATTGGCAATGGAATAAAGAAAATAAATGGTGGTATATTAAAACATGCCCCCTATAAAGGTTTTCTAGTATCTGTGTATGAGCTTTCAAGTCAGCATTGTCTCCCTGTAGTTTTCTTGCCAAGATTTAAGAAATTGTTTGTCCTTGCCTGCTTCCTAGGACTCAGAGACAATGAGTGACCCCGTTTCTAGCTTGGTACCCTAACTATTAGACTACACTGGCTCCCTTTCTAGTACCTAGGCCAATCAAAACAGGCAAAAGGCTGATTCTCAAATGGGTTTGGGCCTCCCAAATTCTGAATTTGGAGATGGGGGAGCTCTGCATAAATCAGTGATGGCGAACCTTTTAGAGACCAAGTGCCCAAAAACTGCCCCCCCCAGCCTGCCCTCTGCTCTGCCTGCCCGCAGGGCCACTCACCACAGATCACCCAGGCAGCCTTGCAGCACCATGGCGGCCACGCTGTCCGCCCACACCCCGCAGCAGCATCTGCACGTGATGGGGCGTGAGGGCGGAGTCTTGCCCCTGCTGCCTGACTGCCATGTGCTTGGCTGCGCTACTCCACGTGGGCTGTGCCTGGGGGGCCTCTCCTCCAGGCAGGCTGCTGGTGAGGGGGTTATGGAGGGAGGCAGGGCTGGGGCAACAGCACGCATGCCCACAGAGAGGGCTCCGAGTGCCACCTCTGGCACGCGTGCCATAGGTTCGCCACCACTGGCATAAATCATAGGAGCAGCTCTGGACAACAAGCATACATGCAGTTTCACTCAAGTTGACTATTACCAGTAAATACTAAAAAAAGGCAGACCAACTTAGGGTTACCCAATAAGCAACTGGAAAGAAGGACAAATGGGGGAGGGATGGACACACTATTTCAATTTCTTAGACTTCACAAAATACTATTTTTTGACTGCAATATTTTTCCAACAAATCTTTATTTTCAACAACATTGGCTAGTCATAATATAGAACCAACAATACAATTTTCAAATGTCACTATATAAACCCAGGATTAGTAATGTAGTACAAAAATTAGAGTGATCATAGGTTTGAAGGGGATGGATTGAAGACAACTGTTGGGGGGTCAGGAAATGAATAACATAAATCTAGGCTGTTAAATCTGTCGACATATGAGGGAAAGAAAGGAGTCATAATACCCCAAAGTCTGAATAACTACTGCTATGAAAACAGCCCAATTATTATTATTATTTTAAAAAAAATCCAAATACTTAAAAGGTAGACAGCATTTGATATAAATTTAACCAGCCAGCTAATCTTGGACAGGCAAGTTCAGCACTTCAGCTTCAAGCAAAAACTGTATTAGATGCAGATCTGAGGCTTGAAGGAGCCCTAAGAAATTTAAATTGAACTCTCTTAAAGTTGGCAAAAGAGGAAAACTGCTCTAGCTAGACTCCCCAAAGAAACTTGAGCTAGATGATTTAGTCACAAACAACTTTATAGCTGCTGGTACAAAATCAACTCCTTTCAAGTGGAAAAAGTGCAGAGCAGCTGCTTTCTCTTTGGCCAACAAGGTCACTTAATTGGCTTGAGCCTTCTTGCTTCCTGCACTATGAAATATTGCACCTAGGGGTTTAAACATCTAACCAGATCAATAACATTACCATAGATACTGAGTTTGCATATCCTTGGTCTTTTAGCAAAGACCATTGATTTTTGCCTTTTGATAACTAATTCAAAATTGAGTAGTGGCACAATATTGATTAAGAGACCTTAAGGCGTTCCTAAGACCCGGAAGATACTGGGAGAGGTCATAACCTCAATGGGGTGGACAGGCATTTCCCATCCAACTGAGGGTCTCTAAAGTCCAAATCTTTAAGATGCCTAATAAAGTACCTGAAAAAGAGAGAGTGCTAATAAACTAACCTATTTAGCTTTCTTCTATGTTGAAAACTGATTAGGTAGATGGTTTTGTGGGTCACATCAGAATTGTATTTTTATATATTTCATACACGAAGAAGTACGTTTTTCTCATAGGATCTCTCTTCAGATCAAATCTAAAGTTGTCACTGACAATCAAGAAAGTCTATGAAATTCTGGACTTGATGTAATGTTTTTACCCATATGCAGTTCCCTAATCAATGGTAGTGGATTGGTCAATTCTAAACCCAACTTGCTTCTCTTCTAATCTATTTTCCTGATTCAATCCTGGAAATTCCAACTTAATTATCTAGCATAGAGCTAAATAATTATGTCCAAGAGATTAATGGGTCTATATATCTAATGTTCAACCCTGTCCCTTTAAAAATAAAAAAGGGGAGTAGCCATTTCCCAGTCCCCAGAGAACGTGGCATTATTGTCAAAATATGCTAAAAGTGAAACAAGCACCCATCCACACCGATAACTCTTATTTTTAACTAATGGTAATTATAACTTAGACCTTTATCTCCTTTCAGTCGCTCAGTCCTTTCTTTTTCTTTTTTTTAATTTCAAAGACTGAAGCTGACAGTAAACAGGTAATGAGCCAAAAGTAAAAAAAAATAATCATCATCACTATGCTTGTGTTGTGATGATAAAC